GGGAGAGAGAGAGAGAGAGGGAGAGATAGAGACAGACAGTGCAGATCGAACACGTGTGGATTTGAGATGTGTAGGTGTGAAGTCTCGGTGTGAGAAATATGTAATTATGAGGAAGCTTCATTGCAAACGCTTCGTTGGAAGAACCCTTCGCCCAGCTCTTGGGAAATACCAAACAACCCAGGTCTCTGTCACCAGAATCCTGGTTCAGCAGCAGGAAAAATCAGAAATAATTAATGCCAATGCCAAGTGAGGATTAATAAACCCCCCCAGATTAATCAACCACCACTGCCCCCAAAAAAGATCGTAATTTAAAAACAGGTGGTCCCCTCTGATTAATAAACCGTTTGGCCTACCCCCGATTAATCAACCACCAGTGCTGAAATTCATTCTTTTAATCCAGCAATTTTTATTTCCAATTCTATTTATTCCCAATTGTTTTTAACATTTTTTTATCATCATTGTTATACTTAAGGTTTAAGTTGATCATTGAAAAATTCAAAAAAACAACTATTCACCAAATGATCGATTTCTAATTAAAATCTTTATAAAAATCATCAGTTTGGATAGCTCCCAAAGGGTACCCCCCATGAGCCCATGTCCCCCATTAATAATAACCACGGTTTGCCCCTGATTAATCAACCACCTTTCTGATCCATGAGATTTTAACAAATCCAATGGAATTCTATTAAGATCTAATTGACGTAAGCCATATCCAAAGTTTTATGGTTCAGAGTTGCTTATTATTAAGGGGTGGTCAAGAAAACTAGCCAGAAGGTACCCCCCCTACCTTCTGGGGGGGGGGTTATTAATCCGGTGTTGGCATTAACCAGCTCGCAGAGATTGAGCTAAAACATTTGCAAAGGCAATCCGCATTTGCGGGATTCCCTCTCTCACGATCCAACTTCTCCCGTGGACGGTGTTAATTCTCAATACCACACTAAGTCAGCAACCAACCGCTGCCGGATTCACCCAGTTTGAACCACAGATAGCCATAGGCACTCTTGCAAGACTGGTCCGTGAAGTAGACCCCCTGGCCGTACAGGCCGCCCTCTCGCGCCATTCGCTGATCGAAGCCGTACTGGGTGATCATGTCGATCTTGTCGGAATGGGTCCCGTGTAGCAAGACGACCCTCGGGACTCAACCGAAAAGTAGCGATGCTGTGCTGTGATGTGCTGTGTAGATATTTGGCAGAAAATGGCAGTCAAAGGAACATCAGGATCCCCAACCAGCTTACTCGCCTGTTCTGTACTTCAACATCCAGCCAGGTATCTTGTGAAAATGAACATGGTTCGCTTGAAACTCATGACTCATGTCAGATCATGGTCGCCGGTTTTAAGATCTTCAAACCCAATCTCCTGCAAAGCTAGGGATAGCCGCTCGGCGAATCCTTTGTAATGAGAAACAGCAAACAAGGCTTCAAAGGGTCAAAGTCTTGCGCATGAAGGCCGCGGCTATGCTATCAACATCTATCAATCAAGTAAACCCTGAAATGAGTAGGTGAACCAATAAAAGCCCGCAATGAATCCTTGAACAAATCGCCATCTGAATCCTGAAGACGATCCTCGAGTGGAGACTTAAGAAGCCAGCTTCGTGAATCCTCTTGCGTAAATCCAAAAGTGAATCTTGAAGGACTCAAGTAAGTCCCTGGCTGAATGCCTAAGCAAACCGCCGAGTGAATCCCAAAGAAAATCCATAATCAAATCCTGAGGTAAACCTTTTAGCGACTCATTGAGCAGGTTCCTACACAGATCCCGAATTAACCCCTGAGTGAATCCAAGTGACTCGTTGACACTTTTGTCGAGCTGAATCCAATCGAGTGGAGGCAACTCACTCTCCACAACAGTCCCAATGCCAGCGGTCTCGCTTTCTTTTTTGATCTCTTCCTGTCAAAATGGACAGAGAAAAAACACAAAAATACACAAAAAAAGTATAATAGTCGATAAACAAAACAATTCTGCTTTTCATGATTTTCATGTTACCCTCTGGTTATTTAACATAGCCATGGGAAATGACCCATTTATAGATGGTTTACCTATTAAAAATGGTGATTTTCCATGTTAAATAACCAGAGGGTAAATGAACTCATTGTAGGGGTGGGCTCTTGGCCCAGGGGTGATTTTCCCACCATCGCGTGCCCAAAATCGACCCCTTTTCAGGACGCCTGAGTTGATGTGAAAATACAAGCCATGCTGGATATTGGAAATCATAGCGATTGCCCTCACAAATGGCAAGCAGATGTTGCCATCTCCATCTCAGTGAGACTACGTTTCTTGAGCCCCAACATTTTAAACATATTATCTGCATTATCTTCGGGCTGCTTCTCAACACCCGTTCCGCTTTGCCTTCCGAAAGGCGTATTGCTTCCATAACTTCACCTCGGGAGGACTTGGAAGCTCTCGCTACACGGCTAGAGTGGAATGCCAGATCCAAAGTGGGCAGCTTCAGTGCATTGCGAGTTCCACTCCGCGTGCTGAGTCACATTGTGGACCTGTTCTACAGACAGGACCTCCAATTGACGGGCTGCCAGGCAGCCAGCATAGTGACCTCTGCACCGGTCACTTGCACTGCCTGTTGTTTATTGAAGAGCAAAATGAGTGATGTACAAGAGGGTTAAAGAAATTCGTATTCGACTTCGATAGCTGTAAGCGGATCAAGATTTTGGCAGGTTTCATATTTCCTCACTCTTATCTCATATCATGGCTCAATCTGGCACGAGGGCCACCGGCGGCGCACACCCGTGTGCAAGTCAAAACTGTGCAGTTTCAATGACCTTTCTCCCTGCATCAACTGACCAGAATATCCAAAAGCTTAGTCTCCATCCTGACCATGCAAGCCAAAGTCAAAGACACCTTCAGTGCCCAAAGTTGTTCCTCAAGAGTTTTAACAGCATCTGAATTGCAAGGAAGCCTGGGAACAACTAAATCATGACGAGCGACTCTGGGGACACGCTTGACGCAAGAGATTCTGAATTTGGGAATGCACCTGGAGATGCACAGGGAAAATTCTGGAAACCTCTGGCGTCATCTTCTGGAACCTCCCAAGAGTTGGTTTTCCTGCACTAAATCACTATGGTACTGTTTTCACCTGTTTTCTATGTAACAAGGTGTCCGGGTTCAAAGTGCCAATGGCCCAATGGCCCAATGGCCCAATGGCCCAATGGCCCAATGGCCAAGGCGCAGGATCTCCACTTGGAATTGGCTGCCGGATGCTAAGGGACTGCTGCTTTTCCATGCGCCAGGATTCCTGCGGTGCCATGCGGGACTTACCCGGTTGCCGTGAACTCACACTTTGGCTTAGCTTCTAGTGTCAAAATTCCTATAGTATTGGCTACCCTCACAGAATAGCACACGCCTAGCCATTAGAACAATCCTCATGAATTCATGGCTGCTACTTCGCACAGTACGGATTCATGTCCAGTACCATTGACTTGCAATCATTGGCTTGGCTCGCTCTCTGGACAGCCTACCCATGGTATGAATCAAGTAACTTCATCCCAAACCCAAACTCATTGTTTAAAAACATTTTATACAATATGTTATGTTGCATTCACTCCTTACATGATGGTACAGGTAAGATAATGATTCAGATAATGAAACGAGCTTCTAAAAAGGACTGTGGTCAATCTCTCTTCGTAATCAAACCATCTGCTTGAGCCCTTTCGAGAAGTCAGAACCCTGATGAGTTACCTATAGTAGTGACATGTAGGGACCTCCAAAAAGCTTTTGTCTTGTTCACAGTTCATCAAGTAAACAATTAGCCAAGCAAACAAGCGCCCCAGTGGTCGGCAGTCCATGACACTCATCTTGGTCACATGTTCGTTCTTCGCGGCGTTGGCTAAAGTTTTCAGCCTGTCTCAGGGATTGCGACGAGCGCGAACTAGGCAGACGTACTTCCTGCAGTCCCATCTACAAACTGGATCAAGATGAAGCCATCAAACTGGCTGGATGCTGATGTTTCTCTCCGTCATGGACAAATTCATGCAGCGTTTACCCCAGAGACACGCAATGAATGATCCTTTGCATCCGGATCATCATCTTGACTCCACCAGAGATTCAAAAGCTTGATGGCTATGATGGCTATGATCTAGCTTCCTCCATCTAGAAAATGGTTTCCTAGAGAAATCACAGTCTCAAATAGTCAAGTCATATCTTGGCGTTCATCTTCAACAAGACTCAGACCGAATCTAAAAATGCTCGAATGACCAAAAATTCTTAACCGCGTTCCAGTGGAATCACAATTCAACACTTGTAAAGAAACTGGAAATGCTTAGCACATGCAATAGTCATGTCGATGTTCAAACCATAAGTGTTGTCAGTATCAGGATTAGATGAACGGCTAGTGATGCGGATACGCCCGCGATCCATTCCTAGCGAATACAAAAGGAACACGCCACCTACTGAATCGGCTCTTGACTTGAGCGTCCCTCCACATGGTCTACAGTAGGATTTGCATTTCAAACCTAAATTATGAATATAACTTCCTGTTCTCGAGCGAAGTCAGCAGCGTAACACATCTTTAGCTGCTCTACACCCTACAATTGCTGAACACAGTGGGCCTTTCCACTTCTTCCTTTAATTCGATGACCTGCCAGATGGTTGCGAGACCAAGGAACCTTGGGCCACAAAATGCCTTCCTGTTGAAGGAACAAAAACTTCCAAGCCACACCACCTTCCAACAGAACTTGCCAACATGCTTTGGAGCATATCGCTACTACTTTCCCAAGGACCCTGCATGAAATACTTGTCCAAACTTCCCAGTATCAAGTGCCAAATCAGCGATTGACTTGGTACTCATAGTAGTAGTTTCAAGAATCTCAAGGATCAATCCTTGAACAACCATGCATGGCGACCAAATGTTAAGGCAATGGCAACTTCGCAAATTGATTAATTCCAATGTTTTACAATATCTTCAGGCAATCGTTGAAACAGCAAACCTGCATGTATCGTGTATGCCCCAGCTTGGCACTGCCTCTTTCGTCAGCGATGCATTCCTCTCTGAATATTCACTCAGAAGAAGCTCTTTTTCTTGCAAGATCCTGAGTCAAAGTCCCCTGGAAAGCCTAAAAAGCACCTCTTGTTCATTGTGCACAAACAACCAGCGAGTAGTCAATAACCAGCTTCTACTGGCTGTTGAAAGCAACACTTGTAAATTTTGTAACCCCTTCGTGCTGTGGGCAACCTGGCAACCTTGAGGCTGGAGGTTGCATTACCTTTCTTGGATGTTGGGCTGCCGATAGTTTGCTACAACTTTCTGGTCATGCTTAGGAACCGCAGTTTTGCCTGGGACTTTTACTAAGGAAAATCGATCGGGCCTGATAGAAGACATTGCAAATCACTTGCCAAATCATCAGGACATGCTACGAGTACCACGGCGTTTGCTTGGGGGGGTTCGGATGGTTTCGGTGCATAGACTGAACGGTCATTTCAAAAAAGGTCATTTATTGAATGGGAATAGCACGCTCAGGACCATCCGTAGATGGGATTCTACTGTGCGAGCGAGCACGCTGCTAGGGTAAGGTGAATCATGAATATGGTTTCACTCGGCAAGGGAATTTCCACGGAACGCACGGTTCATGTCCTGAGAATGGTGACGTTTCATTAATACTCCCCCCTCCGAAACATTGTAGTGCCAGTGTTTCCCCTCTCAGATCCCCAATGATCCCCAATGTAGTCAGGCAAAGCTTTTCAGGTAATTGAGAAATGTATTCATGGATAGTTTTGTGAGGCCCAAACGGAAATTTAGGTTGGTCCTCCAAATTCAGGAACTTTGTTATAAGGGGCTTCAAACAACGCTTTTTATTCAAGCGTCGACGTGTTTCTGGACTACCCCCTTTCGGTGTTTGTTTGGGAGGCATTTATACAACAAGATGGAGGAAAGAAAATGCAGCTTTAGGACCTGAATATTTTTTGAACATTCTCAATTCTCAGAAAAGAAATCAGAAAAAGAAACAAGCATTCTTAGCCCAATCCAAAAACTACAGAGTCAAAGGAGAATGGAACAAGCACACTATAGATTCAGCTTGGTAAAACAAATGCCTCCCCAAAAGGTTGGCAAACTTTACTGAAGTCGGAGTCCTTCATGCATTTGGGAAGTTGGGGTACCTTATTGGAACATGAGTGTTTCGACCATCATTCATGCAAAAGCAATGTTGCCAAACATCGTGAATCACAAACTTCAGTGTAAATATGTTCATGTGCGTCCATACATACTAAATACGTACATGAATATATCATATATAATCTACGGTTCTGATGTATTGTTATGTAGTGTAAAGTCTCATACCACCCTTCATCAAGGTTAAGTCTCACTCGTGCACCACCCTTCATCAGAGTCAATTCCATCAAGTAAAAGTCATTCGTAACTCGGAAGTATTGCTTCCCAACTTCCTTTGATAAATAATGTACTGACTATGCGTGTCATGAATTGCATCAGTCATAGCCAATTCAGAACATTGTTGGCCCAAGCTTCGGAAACACAGCTTCATTTGGCTTTAGCACTCGTCGGATTGAACGTACCTTTGAAGTCTTCACGTTCTGCTGTGTCATGGAGTCGAAATTCACGTCGTAAGCCATACCTCACATGGCCACAGTGATCAAATAAAGAAGGGACAGTATCAAGGAATTGAGTGTTCCCTTCAAGTTGCCAAATCACTTGCAACAATAAAAACGGAATAGGGCACACAATACGAAGCAAGTGTTGCCCATCCCCAAGTGTTGTGACTCATTCGTTTTAGCTGAAGGCATAAAAACAGAGAGCAGGCATCAAATATATTCTCCAACACACAAGCCCTGGGCTTGATCATCAACTTTCCCAACAAACTGCAGGTTAGTGAATCGACCCCGGATGTCTCAAGGTGTCGGAAGGTGACGCCAAGAAACCATTGGTGGTGATTCGGACTGTCTGTTGGCCGCCCGACTCCAAGAAATCGCAGTAGCTCTCTTCCAGCTCCTGCGGTGGTTGTTTGTTGTTGGTTTCCCAGACCCTGCACGAAGTCGGATGAGCCATTTACTCATTGCAGTATACGATCTGTCACGAGTGTCACGAGTGAAACAAATGTTTGAGAAAACAACATGAATTAGGATGGAAATGCGGATTGACTGTTGATGCGAAGAAGAACCTATGAAACTCATTGAATATCAACAGCCAAGGAACTCCAACAAGAGCAAACTTCAATGAATCGACAAGCATCTGTGGGCCTCTTGAACCTCCTGAAGGAAAGCTTGCCACTGGAGGTCACCATTCCTTGCGATTCAAGGCAAAACACAAAGATGACAATCCAAGGCTGTCAAGTTTCAGATCGTTTTTAGAGGAGGTCAACCAGGATTTATTTGAATTTCCCTGTATAGTTTCTCTTTCATGAGCTGTTGAACATAGGGATGTTCTACAGTGTTGCGAAGTATGTATGCTGACAAAAGCACGCGCTATTTGCAGATTTTTGCAAGGAGGACATCCTGGGAGATCAGCGTCAACATCACCGACGTCACCAACACCAACACCAACACCAACATAATCATAGTCACAGTCAAATCATTATACTCACGGACTTATACTTAGAATAAAACATTTTTCCAAAATTTGAAAACCATTGAAAACCAGTACTTAGAATAAAGCCATTACGAGACGAATCTGGTACTTAGAATAACTGTACTTAGAATATGCATATATCTGTACTTAGAACATGCATATAATATATATATATATATGTATAAAATCTATATCCGCCGACCCCTGCCGACAGCAGGGGGAGCGCGTCAGAGAAGAGATTACAAGCAACAAGTGTTGTGCAGTGCAAGTGAGGGGCAAGGGCAAGAAGCAAGAAGCAAGAAACAAGAAACAAGAAACAAGAAACAAGAAGCAAGAAGCAAGAAGCAAGAAACAAGAAGCCAGGAAGCAACAAGAAGAACAAGAAAACGAAGAAGACGAAGAAGAAGAAGATCCGTCCTTCACTTCTAGTCGGTTCAGAAAGTGACGTTTGGCTCTCTGGGCTAGTTTCTAGTCGGTTCAGAAAGTGACGTTAGGCACTGGCACCGGGGCCTCGGAAGCGCCGTTGGGACCGGCATGCCATGGTGTTTTCCTGTTTCGGAAGCGGCCGCCAAAGCTAGCAGCTGCAGGCTTCAAAGGCTAGTTTTCTAGTCGGTTCAGAAAGTGACGTTAGGCACTGGCACCGGGGCCTCGGAAGCGCCGTTGGGACCGGCATGCCATGGTGTTTTCCTGTTTCGGAAGCGGCCGCCAAAGCTGGCAGCTGCAGGCTTCAAAGTCTAGTTTTCTAGTCGGTTCAGAAAGTGACGTTAGGCACTGGCACCGGGGCCTCGGAAGCGCCGTTGGGACCGGCATGCCATGGTGTTTTCCTGTTCCGGAAGCGGCCGCCAAAGCTGGCAGCTGCAGGCTTCAAAGGCTAGTTTTCTAGCGGGCTCAGAAAGCGACGTTAGGCACTGGCACCGGGGCCTCGGAAGGGGCCGTGGCCCGCAGGCCCGGTCCGTCCCTCAGCGCCTTGCTGTTTGGCTGTGGCGCAGGCGCCGTTTTGGGTCAGACAGCTATAGTTTTCTTGTAAGTTCAGAAAGTGACGTTAGGCACTGGGGGCCGTGGCCCGCAGGCCCGGTCCGTCCCTCAGGGCCTTGCTGTTTTGGTGTGGCGAAGGTGCCGTTTGTGAGGCTTGGCGGCTGGAAGACAGCTAGTTTTCTTGTAGGTTCAGAAAGCAACGTTAGGCACTGGGGGCCGTGGCAAGAAGTCATTACAAGCAGCAAGGGCAAGAAGCAAGAAGCAAGAAACAAGAAACAAGAAGCAAGAAGCAAGAAACAAGAAGCCAGGAAGCAACAAGAAGAACAAGAAAACGAAGAAGACGAAGAAGAAGAAGATCCGTCCTTCACTTCTAGTCGGTTCAGAAAGTGACGTTTGGCTCTCTGGGCTAGCTTGGAACTAATTTCTAGTCGGTTCAGAAAGTGACGTTAGGCACTGGCACCGGGGCCTCGGAAGCGCCGTTGGGACCGGCATGCCATGGTGTTTTCCTGTTTCGGAAGCGGCCGCCAAAGCTGGCAGCTGCAGGCTTCAAAGGCTAGTTTTCTAGCGGGCTCAGAAAGCGACGTTAGGCACTGGCACCGGGGCCTCGGAAGGGGCCGTGGCCCGCAGGCCCGGTCCGTCCCTCAGCGCCTTGCTGTTTGGTTGTGGCGCAGGCGCCGTTTTGGGTCAGACAGCTATAGTTTTCTTGTAAGTTCAGAAAGTGACGTTAGGCACTGGGGGCCGTGGCCCGCAGGCCCGGTCCGTCCCTCAGGGCCCTGCTGTTTTGGTGTGGCGAAGGTGCCGTTTGTGAGGCTTGGCGGCTGGAAGACAGCTAGTTTTCTTGTAGGTTCAGAAAGCAACGTTAGGCACTGGGGGCCGTGGCAAGAAGTCATTACAAGCAGCAAGGGCAAGAAGCAAGAAACAAGAAGCAAGAAGCAAGAAGCAAGAAACAAGAAGCCAGGAAGCAACAAGAAGAACAAGAAAACGAAGAAGACGAAGAAGAAGAAGATCCGTCCTTCACTTCTAGTCGGTTCAGAAAGTGACGTTTGGCTGCTTGGAGCTAGTTTCTAGTCGGTTCAGAAAGTGACGTTAGGCACTGGCACCGGGGCCTCGGAAGCGCCGTTGGGACCGGCATGCCATGGTGTTTTCCTGTTTCGGAAGCGGCCGCCAAAGCTGGCAGCTGCAGGCTTCAAAGGCTAGTTTTCTAGTCGGTTCAGAAAGTGACGTTAGGCACTGGCACTGGGGCCTCGGAAGCGCCGTTGGGACCGGCATGCCATGGTGTTTTCCTGTTTCGGAAGCGGCCGCCAAAGCTGGCAGCTGCAGGCTTCAAAGGCTAGTTTTCTAGTCGGTTCAGAAAGTGACGCTAAGTTAGGCACTGGCACCGGGGCCTCGGAAGCGCAGTTGGGACCGGCATGCCATGGTGTTTTCCTGTTTCGGAAGCGGCCGCCAAAGCTGGCAGCTGCAGGCTTCAAAGGCTAGTTTTCTAGCGGGCTCAGAAAGCGACGTTAGGCACTGGCACCGGGGCCTCGGAAGCGCCGTTGGGACCGGCATGCCATGGTGTTTTCCTGTTTCGGAAGCGGCCGCCAAAGCTGGCAGCTGCAGGCTTCAAAGGCTAGTTTTCTAGCGGGCTCAGAAAGCGACGTTAGGCACTGGCACCGGGGCCTCGGAAGGGGCCGTGGCCCGCAGGCCCGGTCCGTCCCTCAGCGCCTTGCTGTTTGGTTGTGGCGCA